TCTGTCTCTCTCACTCTCTCTCCCTCTCTATCCCTAATTTTCTTTGATGATGCTTCCATAAGAAAAAGAAAAGAGAGTAAACTTGAGCCACATTAACTATGTCTTATTAGATGTTCAAATGAGATCTATGTCTTATTAATGGACATCCAGTTCTTAACAGAAAATATTATCATCCTTTTGAAATACTGAACCTGTTCTATATTTATTTTAAATACCTATGCCATACCCTCAGTGTTGTTACAGCAACTGTAATAGTAAGTGGGAATGAAGCTGGAAGACACAAGGAAGAGTGGCAGAGTAGGCAATAGTCAGATTAAGGGCACTGAATCCACATAAAGAATCCACATAAAGAATAGGTACAGATAAACATCTTAAAAGGGACCATCCCTAGTTTCTTCATCTGGAAAGGTGAGCGGAGAGACATCTACTTTCACACTTGTAAGATTGTTTAATCTACCGTAATGACAGAGCTAGTGCCTATGGATATGCTTGTTGTCTGGACTACCTTGTAAGGTGGACAGCCACTCACACAATTCAAATCAAAACAAAATCTGGTTAAGATGCTGGATTTGGACCAGGAAAAGCTGAATCAGGGAAACCCAGTTCAACTTCCTATTTGGGCACTGAGTTTATTGAGTGTCTCAGTCCAATTTCCTTGGTGGTAGAGTTGCAATCAATCAGTTAAAGTTAGTGTTGGCTTCACAACATTTTGGAGCTCTTTACTAGGAATTACTAGGATTTTATTCTAACCAAAATTCATAGGATTATATCATAAACAAGTGCCAATTTATCATGTTATCTTGCTTTAGGGCAAAATTGGAATACCTGATGTGATTCCTTGATAACAATTCAGTTGATATCAAAATACTAATCATGTCTAAGATAAATACCAAGGTTGATTGTTCTGTGCTCAGTACAGACAGTTTCCCTCTATTCTACTGATAAACAAATAATTCAACCTTGCGTGATCCATGTAAAAATTAACCAAATATGATTACTATACATAAGGTAGTATAACTAGTTGTGAATAACAGAATATATTAATATTAATTGCATTAATTGCAATGTCAGTTCTTCCTTTTATTTCTTTCAGTCTCATGGTTTTAATCTCTTTATTTCAGATTCTTAACCTGAACAGAAGACCTTTGCTCCGGTGCTGTGGATGTTAAGCCTTGTGTATGGCGCGGTTAAAGTTACAACCTGTCACCTCAGCCTTCCTCCGGTTTGGGCTTTTTATGTTTGTTCTATTTTTACATGGTCTACAAGTAGATGCTGGCACAGGGACAGAGTCACCAAACATAGGACATAACACCTCGTGCTCTGATTCTTCTGAGTGCAAGGAGGGTGTTATCTTGCCAATATGGTACCCAGAAAACCCATCCTTGGGGGACAAAATTGCCAGAGTTATTGTTTATTTTGTGGCACTCATATATATGTTTCTTGGAGTTTCTATCATTGCCGACCGTTTCATGGCTTCCATAGAAGTCATTACATCCCAAGAGAAAGAGATTACAGTCAGGAAACCCAACGGAGAAGCCATCACCACCTCCATCCGAATATGGAATGAAACAGTGTCCAATTTGACCCTCATGGCTCTTGGTTCCTCTGCGCCGGAGATCCTTTTGTCATTGATAGAGGTATGCGGTCATGGATTCATTGCTGGTGAGCTGGGCCCTTCTACCATCGTGGGTAGTGCAGCTTTCAATATGTTTATCATCATAGCCATCTGTGTCTATGTCATTCCTGATGGGGAGACGAGGAAGATAAAACATTTGAGAGTTTTCTTTGTCACGGCTGCTTGGAGCATCTTTGCCTATATCTGGTTATACATGATCCTTGCGGTCTTTTCTCCAGGTGTGGTTCAGGTATGGGAAGGCTTGCTCACTCTGTTTTTCTTCCCTGTTTGTGTCATCCTGGCTTGGATTGCAGACAGAAGGATGTTTCTCTATAAATATATGCACAAAAAGTACCGCACTGACAAACACAGGGGTATTATCATTGAGACAGAAGGTGATCACCCCAAAGGGATTGAAATGGATGGTAAGATGATGAACTCCCATTTTTTAGATGGAAATCTAGTGCCTATGGAGGGGAAAGAGGTGGATGAGTCTCGCAAAGAGATGATCCGGATCCTCAAGGACCTGAAACAAAAGCACCCAGAAAAAGACTTAGATCAGCTGGTAGAAATGGCCAACTACTATGCTTTATCCCACCAGCAAAAAAGCAGAGCATTCTATCGGATTCAAGCTACCAGGATGATGACTGGAGCAGGAAATATTCTCAAAAAGCATGCAGCTGAGCAAGCCAAGAGGAGTACTAGCTTGCATGAAGTACGGCCAGAGGAGCCAGAAGAATTCATCTCCAAAATTTATTTTGATCCTTGCTCCTATCAGTGTCTTGAGAACTGTGGTGCTGTCCTCCTAACTGTTGTCCGAAGAGGAGGTGATGTCTCCAAGACAATACATGTGGATTACAAAACAGAAGATGGCTCTGCTAATGCTGGGGCTGACTACGAATTTACAGAAGGGACAGTTGTTTTGAAGTCTGGGGAGACCCAGAAAGAGTTTTCCATAGGGATCATTGATGATGATATCTTTGAAGAGGATGAGCACTTTTTCGTGCGTCTTAGCAACCTACGGGTGATTGATGCAGAGGAACCCCCTGAAGTCAACAAACTGCCATATCCCAAGGCCATACTGGTCTCACCTTGTGTGGCTACTGTGACTATCTTAGATGATGACCATGCAGGCATCTTCACCTTCGAGTGTGATGTGATACATATCAGTGAGAGCATTGGGGTGATGGAGGTGAAAGTTCTTAGAACATCTGGTGCACGGGGTACAGTCATAGTCCCCTTTAGAACAGTTGAAGGAACAGCAAAAGGAGGTGGAGAGGATTTTGAAGACAGTTATGGAGAACTGGAATTCAAGAATGATGAAACTGTGTAAGTAACTAATTTTATTTATTTTAATAGTCATCTGTATTTAACCCTACAATTTTCATCCATCACAGGTAAACATGGGCAACATGGACCGTCCTCTCCTCTCCTCTAGTTTCCATACTTACCTTCTCTTCACAAGAACCTTGTAGCAGGATCTAGTTCCTTCTCTTTTTAAGAGATGAATTAATGGATATATGGAAGCTTTTTGATGGTCTAAATCAGTGTTTTTCAACCTTTTTTGTGCAAAGGCACACTTTTTTCATGAAAAAAATCACGAGGCACACCACCATTAGAAAATGTTAA